GAAAGAGAGAGAGAGAGAGAGAGAGAGAAGAAAAGGACAAAAAGAGAAGAGGGCGGGTGGGGGAGAGGAAGACGACGCCGGGCGTGCGATCGTTGAAAATTGGAGACGCGATATAAATGGAACGTGACCTCCAAAGTCCTGTGCAACTCGGGATGTGATAATCCCGGGTAATACCCGGGATGTGCGGACGAGGGCTCGAGCTGTCGGGAACGGGCGTCCACGTGCGCTCTTGTTCCATGTAGCAACGACTCACGTGGCGCAACACGTGAGCGGCAGCTACCACCGCGACGCGGGAGTCCCTGCGACGAGGGTGGCTTCACGGCTGATGACGGTGGCGGCGGCGGCGGCGGCGGTGGTGGTGGTGGTGAAGATTGTTGGACGCGAAACGAGCAAGAGGGTGCTCGTTGCCGCCGGGACAGGAGGGCGCGTTGCGCAATTATTACAGGGTAGAAAGAAGAAGAAGAAGAGGAAGAAGAAGCTCGTGAGCGCTTTCGCCGCGCACGGCATCGGAGATTATTATTCGCGTCGCGTATCGACCAGCCGAATACGAAGGTCAGTCGTGTTCCCGAGCGAATTAGGTCTCCGAGGGCGACCCGACTCGATCAACGTCAGTCCACTCTAAGCAGCTTTAACCGGATCCTCCCCGCTCTTTTCCAGCGGTATCATCTGGAAACGTGGCCGGTTAACCCATTTGCATGATTACGAGGCTCGAGAAGCGCGTATCTCGCTGCGTGCGCGTTGTGTCTGCTTTCTTCGGGCGATCGTAATGACGATGACTTTCTTTCGTGCGGATCACACGAGGTGTGACTGCTGCTCCCCCTCACTGCTGTTGCCGAAGCAACATTCATCGCTGGGCCGCTCGGTGTAAGAGTCACGCGTGTGTGTGTGTGTGTGTGTGTGTGCGTGCGCGCAACATCGGAATTGAAATTGAGAATACTGACTGCGAGCAGAATAGCGTAGGAAAAAGAAAGAAAGGGCGTGAGATAAAAGCAAGACACAGATAGACAAGGTAGACAAGAGCAGCTGAATGACCGCGCGAACGCACCGAGAAATTTACAGACCTCAAGAGCGACGTCGAATGTGTGTCAAAGACCGGCTCGGACCTCGGAGACAGCCGATTTCCGCGGCTCGACTCGTCGTCGCCGGCAGGAAATCGCGAGCGAACGTGTCCGCTTCCGATGCAAATGGCCCAAGTGACGGTTGCGAGTCTTCCGGTTCCTCCAGCCGAGCGAAACGACGATGTGTCGTCGTCGGCGGGGTCCTCGGCGGGTCGCGAGCGGCGATAATGGCGACGATGAAAGGCCGCGCGCGGATTACCTCATGCGTGTGGCGCGCCGAACAATTTATATTTTAATCGCCCTGTGCGCGCTCGAAGGGAGGGGGGGGGGGCTTTTATCTGTCGCATGGCAGGCGATGGCCCATCCGACCCATCTGCCTCAATCATCGATCGCGGGCGAAATAAACGCGCGGCACCACGCGCGACAGACTCGGCCCTCTCGCTCCCTCCCGCTTCCTTTCTCATTCTCTCTCTCTCTCTCTCTCTCTCTCTCTCTCAGTCTCCGAGCGTCGACGTCGTCTAGCGGAATACGCGCGGTCGTCGCTCGGCCGGAAAATACAAAGGGATGTGCGCACGACGTCCGCAGGTCGTGCCGCTGCTGTTGCCGCCGCAGCTGCTGCATCTGATGGACCGGAGCGGTCATGGGCCGAGGAGAAGAACTCGCGCGCAAGGTAAAGCTGCCCGACGGTGCGGACAGCTCTCGCGCGATAAACACCGCGAGAGTCGCTGGTCGAGATCGATCCTCGCGAGTTCGCGAGATCGGCCGCGAGGCGAGGCGAGACTGCGTGTCTCCGGGCGGCGCCGGCCGCGTGAGCTCTATTCATGTTTGCTGATAGCTGCTTTTATTATTAATTATTACAAGATAGCCCTAACCTGTCCTGATTCTCACGGCAGCACGTATCGGATAAGAAAATCTGCCTGTCGGACGTGAAAAAGAGATTTATTTAAAAGTTTAACTCCGAGCGTTCTTGTAACCTTGTTCGTTAAACGCGAAGACTCCAACTTCCGATAGGAAACAGGTGTGCATATTCAAAATATGTATATCCCACATTGAAGGAATCTAAATATTCATGCTTAAGAGCGTCGGAACAATAAAAATATCCACAGTTACATATGTATCGCGGCGTTGATATTGTTATCTACGCGGAGAATCGAGCGGGGTGTTCTTTTCCGTGAAGTTCTCTTCTCCTTTCTTTGAAACCTTTGAACACGTCGCGGACACGCTCTCAAGGATTAATCGAAGCTTGTCGAGTCTGAAAATCTTGGTCGCACTGACAATTTGTCCGGATTTCGCGCTGAGGTGGCTTCGAATCAGCGGAGGAACGGCGCGGCGACTCGCGTGCTCGCGATGCAGATGCACGCGATGTCGAGTCGAAGGAAAGAACGACGAGAAAGAGAGAGAGAGAGAGAGAGAGATCGCCGGACGGGAGAAATTCCGGTGAGACCGGGGGGCGACGTATGGACGAACGTGCGGGGAGTACGTTGACCTGGTCTGACCTGACCTGCGACAACCCAACGCGTATCCGACGATAAGCTGTCGTATATCAAAGTAATCTCATGCGCGGATCATCGGGCCCGATTATCGTATAGGCACCTACGTTACGCAGCGCCGCTTTTACGTAAATGGAAGTACGCGCGCGTCGCCCGCCAGCGTGTGTCGCGTCTAAGTAATTCGATGACGACGTTGCGTCCGTCTGTTCGTCTCGCTCGCCGGCACTCACATCGGCACTCCATCGAGGATCCCGGTAGGGATGGGCGATACAATAGAAAATATCGATATTTCATATCGATACGTATCATAAGTAAAGATATCGATACCACTAATATCCTTATTTTTGACTATGTACCTACTGTATATTTATTTATTGATCTATACTTGTTTATACGAAAATCTATTACACCGTTACCGTTTTTGGGATGCGTCAGAAATAGATGTATTTTTAGTCATTTCATAGGAGAAAAGGAAGGAATCCAATTGACATTGACGAATTCTGTTCAACCGTTCTATAACCATTGTATTTTCTGAACGCAGCCTTATATTTAAGTCCGTCTTAAGTTCATGTTTGGATACTATGTAGCCAATGAAATGATCCATACGATATCTGAAGATGAACTTAAGACGGTCTTAGATATAAGATCCGACTATGCATACCGGCCTGAGTGTGTGTGCAGATTAAAAATATTATTTGTTTAGTTCCAGCGACATTTTCGTTTAAGACGGAGTATCTTTAACAAATTACACGGTATGTGCGTAAATTCAGAAAGCTTCTTCTAAATTACCCGCATTCAGGTTAGCATAAAAGTTGGCACACTCAGCAAGTGCGCCTACTAACAAAAAGTTACTGGGCGCTGGGACGGAGCGAGTGTGCGTCAATCGAATTCGCTATTAATTTGCAACAATTCGGTTTGCGACAATTCGGAATGCAAACGGAACCGAGAATGGCTGTGGTTGGTAGCGCCGGTTCCAAAAGTTTCGGTACGCTAAAATTTTCGCCCAATAGAATACTAATGATTCGTATTGAACTGTATCGGAATAAATATGCGATATTGCTCTTGAAATATCGATACACAGTGATATTTTAAAATATCAATCCGTATCCTTGCCTATCGTGGATTTCTCTTCCGCGGGAATATCGACTTCAGCGTCGCCACGCGGTCCAAGGCAGTCCGCTTTAAATTCTCCGGGGATGCTCTGACACTCGCACACATATGTGTGTATATGTATGTATGTTTAGATATGTTCAGTTGTTTTTTTTTTTCAACTCAATATTGGCGACCGAGTCATAAGGGACATTGGCGATAAATGAAGATTCAGCACAAAGTCCCACGAGCAGAAGAGAAATCTCCCTGGAAACGAACGTTAAGGTCTTTGAAATTAGATTATTGTAATCATCAGGAATTAATATTTCCTGAAGATTTGATTTTTTCGGAGAAGCCAATATTTCTTTAGGATTAACATCGAAGAATTGGAGAATGCATTTTCTTACGAAAATTATTTTCGCCCAGTAAGAGCCATCAACGTCTCCGCGCGACTTTGATCGGTCAAAATAAATCCCTTGCGATCGGAGTTCTTTGATATCTTTGACGTTAGATCATTTTATTACTCATTAAGAATTGATATTTCTTGAAAACTTGTCCTTTGAAGGAAAAATCAATTCTTTTAGAAGAATTAATTTCGAGCAATTGGAGAAATCATTTTTCCCTACAAAAATTCTTTTTGCCCAATACAAGAATCGCGTCATCAACTCCCTCCAAATAAATTACTCGTGATTGCATTTCTGAGGGAGCCTTAATATGAATTTTGTTGAAATTTATAAGCCATTTTCTCCCGACTTTCATAAATTAGTCCTCGGAAAGGTCAGGCTGCAAATTAATAGACTCGCCATCTCTCCTTCGAGCCGGCGGAAATCATCGCGAGTACGAGCGAGTCGTATTCCTTCGTCTTCGATGTCAATTTTGTCGACCTCTCGACACGGAGGAAGGAAGCAAGAGCTCTCTCTCTCTCTCTCTCTCTCTCTCTCTCTCTCTCCCTCTCTCATCCCGCTACGCCCACACCTGTTCCCGCCTCCGCCGCACGATTTGGAATTAACCGGAGCGCTTTCCCGGAAATACCCGGCCGGGGCGGCGGGTGGGACACGTGACCGGGAAACGTGCCTGCCGGTGCACGTGGATCCCGGGCACATCCCCCGACTATCGGCCGCCGCCGACGCGCCTCGTGCCTTCAACAACCCTCTTTCGTTCTCGAGGCGGAGGAGAGGCTTCCGCTCTCCTCTCAGTCATCGCCGAGTCTCGTCTCGGGCTACGGCGTACGTGTGTGCGTGCGTGCGTGCGTGCGTGCGTGCGTGCGTGCGTACGTGCGTGCGTGCGTGCGTGCGTGCGTACGTGCGTGCGTGCGTGCGTGCGTGCGTACGTGCGTGCGTGCATGCGTGCGTGTGTAACCGCGCCGCGTGTGCTCGACGTGTGCGTGTGTGTGTGTGTGCGTGCTCGCGCGAATCCGCCGCGAGACGCGCCATGGTGCGTTCGCCCGTCGCGACTCTTCTCGCCGAGGTCGCCGCGATTACGCTGCCGGCGGATCGATTCGGGCCACGGCGACGTGTGTGACGCTCGGTGGATCCGCGCGTGCACGGCCAGCCGGTCGGATTATTGTTATTCGCGCGCGCGCGCGTGTACAACGCGCGCTCTCGCCCGGGTCTCGCCTCGCCGAGAGATCGCGAGATCGAGCGCGAGCCGGCCGCGCCGAAGGCTCGCTTCCTTCCTCCTGCGCCTTCCGCGCTTCGAGGAGGATAATCGACAGTTAGTCGGCGGAACGTAACGCTTGCTCCCTCGTGATCGTGATTTTCCGACTTGCTCACGTTTATCCCCCCCCTTAATACACATCCGACTCGCCTCTTCTTCTTGGCCGATCATTGGGCAGCCGGAGAGAGCGGAGACAGAGAGAGAGAGAGAGAGAGAGAGAGAGAGAGCGCTGATGCGAATAGCGTTGCTTGTGATCTCCGACTCGTGCCGCTTCTCGCGCGGCGGAGCTTCGCACGCGCGTCTTCCTTGAATTTCGCGAATTCGAAACGTTGTAAGCAGCGACATTGGTCGCGGTAGGAATCGAATAGCTGACTTTTCCTCGCTCGAGTTTTTCGAAACCGCGCGGCCGTGAAAAACGTTTCGCGGATGTCGCCAACGGAATCGCGCGCGCCCGCGTCCGCAGAGTTCCGTTCCCCGGAAAAGCCCGGCTTTTCCGCGCGTGCATCATTGGGTAAACACGGTCGTAAAGGCAGCCGTATATTTTTCTCACCTATCGCGCGCTCGGCAGTAGATCCTATACAGATTTATACTCGCGAGATCGGATGGAATATTACGGAGGGTGTAATTTATGTAACCGCTGAGACACACACGAAGGAGGAAGCTTCTCTCTCAACCCGCTAATTTCCGCGCGTCGCCTACAGGACTCGTGAATGCTCTGACGTCAATCCGCGAAATTACGTGTGAAAAATCGACGCGGCGAAAATGAGACACATCCGCTAATCCGTGACTGGTGATCCTTGAGAGAGAGAGAGAGAGAGAGAGAGAGAGAGAGAGAGAGAGAGAGAGAGAGAGAAAGAGAGAGAGATCGCAAGCGTGCATCGTTGGTAGGTAAACTGCGGCTACGAGCTCCAAACTTACGGGAGGCATTCTCGTCGACGTCGAGACCTCGGCGAGGCCGGCCGAGTTACCGCGACGCGACCGTGAGGCTGATACAAACTCGCGAAAGGAGAGACAGAAAGACAGGCAGGAAGAAGAATAGAGAAAAAGAGACAATAAAGGACAGGCTGTGTCAGTCAAAGACTAATTTCGTGATTCTCACGCGGTCGACATAAAGAAACATTCCCATCCCGTGCGAGTGAAGAGAAGAAGCGAACTAAACTCCCCCTTCCACCGCCCCATCGAAGGTCCGACGAAATGACAACGGGGGCCAAGAGCCGGACATGGCGTCGGCTCGCTCTTGAGTAACCAAGCCCCGCAAGCCCCGCGCTCAAGACCCCGCGTCGAGAACTGCGTCGATCGCGCGACGGAGGAGCGAACCGGCTTCCGTTCGCCGGACGGCAAGGCGCAACGTCGAGCCCAGAAATGGACTCCTGCGGCTGGGGCGGCTGGATGGCGAACGAGGAGAGCGCCGAGGGGATGGCGGCAGACGCGGCCGCCTCTTGGCAGCAGTGTTACACCTGGTGCACGCCGTACTCGCACCCGCACCCTCATCATCACCACAACCACCCCCCGCATCATCCCCGTCAGTACCAGGTTGGCCAGTATCAGCAGCTACCGAGCAGCGCCTCCGCCATCAACGCTTCCACCCACTACCACCCGTCCTCTCAGCAGCATCATCTGCAGCTGCAGAACAACGCCCCGCCGCCGCCGCCGCCGCCGCCGCCGCCTCCGCCGCCACCGCCGCCGCCGCCACCTCCGCCGCCGCCACCGCCGTCGTCTCCGCCGCCGCCGCCGCCGCCGCCGCCGTCGTCGTTGGACCAACAACAGCACCTTCACCCTGCGAGAGGACAGCCGACGCTCAGGAGAACGGCTCCTTATGACGGACCAGGTACCTCGAGATCCTGTCGCGTGCGCGTCGCTCGCTTCGCCGATGATCGATCCGCTCGCGAGCGGCCGCTCGTTTTGCCGACGCTAAGTGCGAGACTAAGGTCGATTAACCTCGGCGACGTGTACAGGTGACTTCCCGGATAGGCAGGGAGACTCTCGTCTCCACCGGAGGCGACGATCTACCTCGGCGACGCTGTCTCTCTCGCCGTTGACTTGCCTCCAGGTCACGCGATTGTCCGCCGACCAGTCGGAGTTGCGCGATGATTTTATAAGATAAACGAAGCTCTCTTCGTGTTCGATGGCTCCCGAGCTCGTCGAGTCGCAACTCGCCGTGGCCGGCGAGGTCCAACGCGCGCGGCGGGTCCGCTCTCTTGGTGCTGGAGTGCGAAGTGATTTCGGATTTCTCGGGCCGAACGAGACGATTACGCCGTTGCGATCTTGCGAAGGAAGCAAAGGAAGGACCGGAGGTCGACGGGACGCCGAAATTCTTCCGCAAGACTACAGCGCAAAAATATAAATTGTTTCACCAGGCCCGGGAAATCCCCGAAATTCCGCGGAGGGAAAGGACTCTCCGGCGAAATATGAACGGGTGATCGGGATTGCAATTCGGCCGATTGCATCGGCGAGATTTCCAGTTGACCTCAACGGAGTCCTGGTTCTCACTCGGAATGTCTCTGAATCGCGTTCATACTTCGCTAGCAAACTTCGTCCAACTGGGCCCACAATTTGCCTCCACGTTCTCGTCGCGTAAACCGATCTCTGTATGCATCATTATTTCTCCATTAATATCCTCTCCCCCCCTCCCGTTCTTCGGGGAGGTAAAGAAAGCGATATCGATGCACTTGTTGCCAGCGATCGGTAGCAACGATCGGTCTCCTCGCGAGGTAGCGATGCGTCGCGGAGGCTCATCACATTTCAGGCGATCCTGAGCCTCGGCCGTCGGCTTTCCTAAATTACCCCGCCCCGGAGGATTCGCCCGGACGAAATGACGGTCGACGGTCGACCCGGTGGTCGTCACGCGACGTCAATCACCGAATGACCCGATCGCGAAAGGGTTTAATACACTATCGGGCTCTTCAGGCCGCTCGTCGTCCGCCGCCCGCGTGTCCTCGCAATATCGCGTCGATTATGAGATGGCATCCTCTTATTATAAGCGTGCTCCTGCGGTGCTCCTGCACCCCGGAGACTCGCGTTTCCCCGTGGCGGCCCGCTCGTCGTACGTCTTATCGACGGCACGGGGAGAGCGGCCGAAGGGGACGCGAGGAGGCAGTCCTGAGGAAATGTAGGTTGTCGGGAGAAAGGACTCGAGATATTCGGTTTCCTCGCAAAAGCGAGGCCCGCACGTCGCTGTCGGCGGCGCGAGTCGCCACCGCGCAAGTTGCATCCTCCTTCTCTTCCGGCGGCGATATCCTCGGGGTGATCCAATTTGGAGGCGATAGCGAATCATTATAATAATGGAAACCCTACAGCTGCGAGAGCAGGGAAAATGCATCGCCGTGGAACACGCGCGGCGGCCGTCGCGTGAATTATATCGTCGAGCGATTATGTTGAATATATCGCTATTATTATTGTCTTATCGAGCGCTTGTCGCACGCAGTTAATAACACGGTCAAGTAGCGCGTTACACACAGCGAGCGAGAGCGGGGCGAAAGCTGCGCATGAGTTAACACCGGAACTCGCCGACGAACCGGTTTGTCACTTCCCGTAAAAATCGCTCAGATTTATACGACGACGCATTTCACGTTTCTTAAGAGGACTGGAGGGAGGGGCGGATCACTGAAAAATCGTGCTTGTTTTTGATCATGATTTTGTGACGAGCTGAATAAATGTGCAAGAGTGAAAATTTTCGATATATTTATATAACATATGAAGAGTCGAAAAATTTTGTTTGTTAACAAATATTCATATGAATATACGTCCACTTGAACTTTAAACGCGTTTCCCTCGAAATTTTATCGTTCAACTTTTTGCTGTGATTTCTCCGAAACTGAGCTTCGTATCGATTTGAAATTTTAGAGCAATAATATTTGTTCATCCGGCTCTCAGGTGAATCCGTGGACAACTCCGTCAAAATATTTCATTTCTAGATATTAATTTTTTTTATTGTAAAAGAACTGAAAAATGTGAATTTTTTCCTAATAATAGCTGCCATTTTGTTAATTTTGTTATAGTGCTTCACCGGATAATGATAAGCCTCCTCAAGATTTCTAGCTATAATTCGCTCCGATCGGACCACCGAGAGCCGAGATATTACCGCAAAAACGACAACTTGAAAAAAAAAGAAGAGTATATTTCAAATTTTTCTACTCTTCATATGTTGTATAACTATACCTAACATTTTCATTCTCGCACATTTATTCAGTTCGTCAGAAAATGTTATCAGAAACAAGCACGATTTTTCAGCAACCTTCACCCTTCAGTCCCCTTCCAAGCCTCCAACGGGACCGAGACGGGCAAACGGACATTTTTTCCGGGGAAGGGGGCGGAGGGAGGGAGCGCGTAATATGTCTTGCCGAGAACGCTGGCATTCCCGAGGCCGAGATAGCGGGCGGCGATCGCGTTAATCGCCGGTGATTCGCCAAATTTTGTTCTCGCGGCTCTCAGAAACGCGAATATCCGACGCGTAACATCGTCGGCCGTCTCCTTCTCGTCCTTCTCGTCCTTCTCGTCCGTCGGCGTCTCGCGCGAGGGGCGCGCCAGGACGTCGGATACCTCCTCGGCGCAATCCTCGCGGAAACGCGTTTGCGTAACGCACCGCGATGAAAGGGATTTGCCCGCTGCCGCATGCGTTACCGCGGAAGCCCTCGCGAAGGGACCGGAAGGGCGGCGGGGAAGTTGCCCGCGCAACCATCGGGTAAATGGTGCGCTGAATTATTCATGGGAATCTGTTGCTTCCATCCAAACAGGGCTATGCGTCTTTCTCTTCCTCGCCCCTCTCCTTCTCATTCTTTCCGACGTCGGTCTCGTGCGTCGCGCGGATTTACTCAGGCGAGAGAGATACGAGAAATATTGGGCGAGTGCAAAAATTTGAACAGATCTCGCGGTAGGAGAGATGGACCGAGTAATTTGATGAGATTTACTTTCCACTCCGCGCCGAGTAATCGCCATTGTTTTCCATCATCCAACGGTAGATGACACATCTACGTAAGCGCCGCCGCAAAACCGGATCGGTCATGACGTCTTTGAGAAGTCCGCCGAGACTTTCGCACTCACACGACACGAATCGTGTTGTGTCGAGAGAGACGGAGGGCCGGAATCACGCGGAACTGAGAAGCCATGCGGTGGTGGTGGTGGTCTCGATCTCGATTCGATTTTCTTTTCGAGGAAATCTGGATCTTCCTCTGCAAAAATCGACTTTTCAAACTGATTCTTTTCTCATACGTTGACTCCGGTTGAATTCTTCATTAAACGAAACAACATGGGAGAGGATCAATTTGAAAAAAATTAATTTTCGGAAAAAGAGATCGATTCTATTATTATTATTATTATTATTTATTTATTAATATATACGAGAAAAACGCTCTTTGATACGCATTATTTTCAAAACGAATGGGTCAACAATTATAAAATAAATCGATAAAGAAAAAAAGCTGAGGATTAAATCGCAGTATCAATTTGCATACAAATGCTGGACGAAATTATAAATTATAAGTTATATAATTATAAATTATAAGTTTGTTTGCAGACCGAATAAAGACCGACAGCCGCGAAATGCCGACGTATTTCTCACCTCGCGCAGAGCGACGGTGGCGAAAAGTGCGAATTCCGCGGGATCACGGCGCTCCTTCGCAAAAGAACGAGTCGAACGCAGGTCGAATCGAGAGTATCGCGTTCCTGACAGCACTGGCAGCAGGCGATGGAGGTGCGAACGCTCGACAGCTGCACCGGCGAGCGACTCTTCTCGCCCGAGATGACGCACCGCGGTGACATCATTAAAGCCGCGCGTACACGCACCGTAATTACATTTCTTTGTTGGCGTTTCCCGCGCGGTGGTCGCGTGCATTTTGTGATCTTGGGCCGCGAGCGCGTCGTTTATTCATGACATCTCATATAAATATTTATCGATCCTTACCTGTACGCCTACCTCATGAAACACAAACTTCCCCGGAGCTGTGTTTTACGATTTGCTCGCGATCGAAGATCGGGACGCAGGAGCGGACGCTGATTTCGCGCGGCCCCCGGCAAGGGGACGCGGCGCGCGGGGGCAGTCGGGCGAGGAGAGGGGGTTAAGCGGTTTTCTAAGTCCTCGAAAGTAAAAAGTCCCCTCTTACCTCATTAATATGCATTTAATTTTATTCGCACACGCGAATTCACCGCGTCAACATTTCGCTCGGCCGCGGTTTTTCCTCGCGAGGACTCGCTCGCCCGTTCGCCGCTAAGGTCTCCTCCATTTTCCCATGTCGCACATTTTGAGACTCGATTGCGTAATCGCTGCATTATATCGCTCTCATTGTCGCAGGCAATCTCCCAATGCGCGCGATACCACGGCTGCATCGTGACGATCGTGTTGTTTATCCGAGGAAAGAGACCGCAAATGGAAATGGCTGTTATGCGCTGTGTGCGCTCACAACGCTATTCTCTCTCTCTCTCTCTCTCTCCCTCTCTCGCCCGTGGAAATTCGAGGTAATCTCGATATCGAAATAAACAACAACGTCCATCACGCGGGGCCGGCACGTTACACGGAAACTGTATCTAATCGCGCGCGCGATTTCCATGGACGGCCGCTCTTCTCGCCGCGCCGCGCCGGTCCGTCTCGACTCGTTTTTACATCACCGCCATTTTCATTCAAATCGCGCCTTGTCCGGCGCGGATTTTTCGGGGTGTTACCCGTTCGTTCGCGAATGGACCGCGGATTTCATCGTCGTAAAATTTCCCTCCCTACGTCTCCGTGTCTCCCCCCGGCTGGAGACGCTGGCCGCGTCTCGAGACTCCGGTCGAGGCGAAAAATCCGAGGAGGTCGCTGAGAAATATTTCAAGCCGATAGCAGCCACGCAGGCTGCC